TGGTAGTGGTAGTGGTAGTGGTTGGTAGTTGTATGTTGAGCATTGTCGTCCTTATGTCTTGCTCGTCTTCTTATTCGGACTCCTGATTGTTAGAAGTCAGAGGACACTGCTACTAAACAATATTCATGAGAATACAAATTAGTTACCCCTTCTATTTAAGCTCTTTGGCCCAGGATCTTCTTTGCGCTGTATATTACGGTGGTGGTCTTCGCGATCATCAGGGTGGGGAGCTGATTCGACAGCAGGCTGTAGAGGTTAGGGTTTAGGGTTTAGGGTTTAGAGCAAGGCAGCACTTTCATGTACAAGCGGTCGCCATAGTAGTGCGTACATAAGCAGATACTTTCATGCTTATATACGTACATACCTACAGGCCTTTAGACATACAGACAAACATGTAGACATATTCAAAACATAATGCATATTCCTAGGTGTTGTTATATACATAAACATGCGCAGTCACATCCACTCCCATCCATCCATACTTATACGTACATACATACATTCATACATACATGAATACATACATGTCTTCAGTCTTTCATTCACTCATTCATCAGTTCATCAACTATGGATTAATTCATTCGTGCATACATGCATTCCCTCATTGATTCCCTTTTCCATTGACTGGTTCACTCATACATACATACATACATACATACATACATACATGCATGCATACATACATACATACATACATACACACATGCGTACAGATATGCCCGTTTACCTACATAGAACATACATGCATACACGTTATTTCAGGAACTAACCCAGGCCCGAAACAAGTTGATACATGGTTTGCTCACACATCAGCCTGTTTGAGTTGCCGCAGTTTAGGCGATCAGAACAGGCGATAATATAGGGGCCTGTGAAGAGACCTCGATGTCTAGTGCAATGTTGTTATCCTATGTATGGACTGCCCTGGGCATCCATACGAGGTAGCTATGAGACGTGTATCATTGTGACGATGGACATGGTGGGAAGCCATGTGCTACCCCATGATCTATATAACTCCGGCGAATGTTAGGCTCAAGCCCAAGCCACGAGCTCAAAGAGCACGAGGCGAAAGGTACATATAGCAGACGCTATATTCTCTTGTTTCCCAGGTGACAGCCATTGCGTGTATTGCCCCCTGCACAGACACTTCGACTGCCGCAGCGAAAACGCAGCAAAAGGAGTCCGAAGTTGCCTGCAAGGGTTACGACAGTCAATTTCTTGCAGTGGGCACACAACTACAACATAAAGATCGGTGAGGTGAGCAATCATACGGAATATCAAGACCAAACCCTCACGCAGGGCCTTAGTAATTACCTGTACTATTTTGGGGAGTTCCTTACTATAACTGTTTTCATTATTAAGGTCCCTACATTATGCACAATGGCAGCTGGCTCTTCAGGGCTGCTGCTTCATGATCAACAACGGTACATGCATACTTCCATGCATACATGCATCCGTGTTTACATGTTTGCATGCTCACATGCGTCCCAAGCAAGTTGATGCTTATGTACATGCGCGAAACCCTAAGGGTCCATGTGCCCAAATAGTATATATATATATATACATTGGTCCCAAAGAACTTATATAGGGATACCTTTAAGGCCAATGTATATACTATTTGGGTACATGGGCCCTTGAGGTTCGCGAAAGATATGGTTAGTTTTCGATATTAGGGTCCCTGTTGGGGTCCTTTTTATAAGGGTGCCGTACTACATTGGGGACCTAAAAAGGGACCCTGTTTTAGAGAACTATCCATATACTAAACCTTTACGGAGCCCTCATAGAACCCTTAAAGGACCCCTTTAAAGGAACCCCTAAAGGTACTTTATACTATTTGGGTACATGGACCCTTAGGGAAAGATATTGAGATGAGCGCAATGTACATACGCGAAAGATATTAATATTGAGATGGGCGCAAGGTCATTGGGGCGATCTTCCTCAAGGAGACTTGGCTCTCCTTTGCTTGGCTCTTAGGACTTCACCTGCTGAGACTTCTTCCGTAGCTACAGAGAAGCAATAGCTAGGGTTTACGTTTTAGGGGCTACACATTTCTTCCGTAGCTACAGAAAAGTACCTGGAGGATCATGGGACTTAGTAAGTAGGGTTTTACGTACCTTAGTTGGGGTTACAAGTAATTATAAGTATAGTTACCTTAGTTATAACCCTAGTTACTAAGTCCCATGATCCTCCAAGTAATAGCTACAATAAACCCTAAACCCTAAACTTTAGCTTCCAGCAGGGTTTCGGAAGTGAGCCAAGGAGACTCTCGATGCGGCACAGAACGATGCAGAGCAGCTGGTGAAAGATAGGCACTCTTGAAGTGCTGCCCTACACCCAAAACCCTGAATCCCTAAACCCGATAAGCCTTGAAGGCCCTGAACCGAGGAAACCCCAAGGATCCTGGCCGACAGTTGCGTAGATCATGTCTCCCCCCAAAATCCTAAGCCCTAAACACCATCAAGTCCAGAACCTGCCAGTCCTTCGCAGGCCCGAGGAAGGCTAGAAGCGTGTTAGAAGTATACACTTTCATGATCGCCAGGTTAAACCCTAAACCCTAAACCCTAAACCGTGGTAGAAGTATACATTTTCATGATCGCCAGGTTTGTTCTTCTTTTGTCGCGGGTGTAGTTCTCGTTCGAACGTTGCAAGAGCCACGTTTTGCAAGATGTGCAGTTGACATACTCCTTAACCCTCAACCGTATATACATCCTAAAGCCTTAGCCCTAAAACCTCTTAAACTGGAGCCATCGACCCTCAACCCAAAACCGCACGCGCTGGCATCCGACAGTGTCATTCGCATAGTTTAGGCTTCAACGTGCTGAAACCCTGTTTGAAACATTAATGCTCCTCCATACCGCCATGAGAGATTCTTGGGAAGCCAAAGCCTTTCTTAAAGGGTGCTAGGTACTGTTGCGGGGGATACTTTGCCAAATCATAGTAACTAATGATTCCTATTATAGAAACCCTACATGCTAGTATAGCTACTGTTATGGGGGATACTTTCCCGAATGATAGTAACTAATGGTTTTTATTTGTAGTACATTCTAGTAGATAGGTACCTTGGACCCTTTGGGTTTGCCAATCCTGAATCCTGCCCCCTCTTGCCAACGCCTCCGGCGACGCGGGTTTAGGGTTTGAAGTTTAGGGTTTAGGGTTTTCAAGCCTAAGGCTTTGTAAGCCCTGCACACACCCTGATTTTGTATGAACCCCTAAACCCTTAACCCCAAAGGCCCTAGAACCCTTCACCGCGAATCCTGAACCGTACAGGAAAACCGTTAGCTAAACCCTAAACCCTAAACCCTTAGGGCTTAGGGCTTTCGATTCCTTTCTCCGCAACCTGCTGGAGAGCCTTACAACCAACACCGGATTTAGCAACGTTTTGGGATCATTTATTTTGGGCTCCGGCTTTGTGGAGTTACTCAAAGGTTTAGGGTTTAGGGTTTAGGGGTTTTTGAGCTTATGGATTTAGGGCTCAGGAGTTAAAAGCCGACCCTAAACCCTAAACCCTAAATCCTAAATCGGGTTGCGCGTCACGAGAATCCGAGAGTCCGTTGCCAGCTGCTAACTCGCCCTTGACAGGATGCGGATGAAAGCAGTAACTTGGTCCACATGTCAGTACAACACCCTAAAGCTTAAACCCTAAACCCTAAAGTCCTAAACCCTAAACCCTTAAACCCATACACCCAATATCCCTAAAGCCTAAACCCTAAGCCCTAAACCTGAAGTTTCGAAACCTTGAACCTTCAATCCTAGACTATACGCCCTAGCCCTAAGCCCTTAAACCGTAAACGCAAAACCCAATATCCCCTAAACCCTCGCTTGAAATCTCCGAGCGCCTTGAGGGGAAATCACTGGTATTGGATTATTGGGTTTAGGCTTTGAGGACTTTAGGATATATATATATATATATGAGGGGTTCAATTAATGTTTGGCGTCTAGGGGGGGTTGAGATGTGTCGAATTATGCTTCATTTGGGCTGAGTCGTTATGAAAGTATTATTCGAAGAGACAGCAGGTCCGCATCAACATGCAAACTGCAGGGCTTTGGCTTTAGGGTTTGGTTTAGGGTGTAGAGGTAGGTCTCACAGTGGGTCTCCCATGTCTTGCCGAGTCATTCTGCCTGCAGTCCAGTGAGGAGCGTGCCATCAAATCCCGAAATGGGGGTCTGAGCAAATACCAACAGTATTCCCATATGGTCCCTATAATACGGTTGATGATATAAATCCTGCATGACCCTTAATAAGGAATATACCATATTTCCCATGGTTTAGGGTCCTTAAGGTAATGCAGGATTTCTATCATCAACAGTATGTCTACATTATGTATGTTTTGGCGTACTCCAAGTATTAGAGCCCATGTATTCGCAGAATCATTGAACCCAAGAACCTTAGGCCCGGCTTTTGTGCATCCGTTAGGGTTTAGGCTTTGAGATTTCGGGTCGGGTTTTTAGGGTTTAGGCTTTCGGGTCGGATTTAGGGTGTTTAGGCTTTAGGGTTTAGGGTTTGGGATTTCGGGTCGGGTTTAGGGTTTAGGCTTCAGGGGTTCAGGGTTTAGGGTTGACTGATCTTGCTGTCGGCTAAGGGACTAAGGGCTTGGGGGAGTTTAAGGTGTGATTAGGGTTTCGGGTTTAGGGTTTAGGGTTTTTGGGTTTAGGCTCCTATGATAGCTGCGGTTCCGTCCTGCTGTTGTTTTGGGCTGCGAAGTCGGGGGTTGAAGGTCGTACCCCAAGGGTCCGAGGGACCCAATTATCAGGTACTTAGGTTTCGGATAGTAGTTACGTAGGTTACTGTTCCCTAAACCCTAAACCCGAAACCCTAAGCCTTTGGGAGAGTATATGATTATCAGGCTAGGGGTAGTACCTGGGAGGTTCCAGCGTTGGCTTTCCGTAATCTCAGGAGATTGCGTGGGTTTAGGGTTTAGGTGACAAGGGGTTTAGGGTCCTAAACCCTAAACCCTAGACCCTCAGGGCTTTAAAGCTCTGCCCCCAAAAGCCAAGGAGTATGTTCAGAAGCTGGAGTCTGCTTCTTGGCATGCAACTGGTTAGGGTTTAGAGTTTTTGGGTTTAGNNTTTAGGGTTGAGGGTTGAGGGTGGAGGGTTGAGGGTTCAGGGTTTAGAGTTTAGGGTTTAGGGTTTAGGGTTCCTCAAATTTGCCAGCATGGTTCCATGATGTGACGTGTAGATTGCCAGTCAAGCTTGTGCTGTCCACATGTGTGTGACTGCATGCACACTGGCTTGCAGAGTCGTTTTGTGCTTGGTTTCGTCCTGCACCCCCCCCCATTTTTCAACCCTACCCTAAACCTGTCTTCGCAGTTTGGGAAGCACCCGCTCCAAGGTGGAGCAGCCACTACCACTGTAGACCAAGAATCGACACTACGCAATACTGTGACATACTACGAGCAGTTTTCTACTGTGCTGCAAAAGAGGCTCGCCATTTTCGCCAGATGTCAACAGGTTTTATATTACATGGCAATACTGCTGCTATCAGCAAAGTCGTTACTCCTTGTCCTCTGAAGCCCTTTGCAAGGTTTTCATGGCTATCGATGATTCCGGGAACGGAATGATTACGGAGGAGCGGCTGAGAGACATCCTCTCCAGACCCGAGGCGGGCACTTCTAATCAGAGGGTCTAGGAAAGTCTGCAGTTTCAGGGCTTCTAGGTCGGATGCATCTAAGCTGCAGAGATGTTTGCCATCGGATGTTCCTGTCGCCTTTCGATGGGTGACATGGTGATGTTGATGATGTGCATGATACTGGTCCGGGCGGCGGCGGCGGCTGCTGTTGCCGCTGCTGCTAGTAGTAGTAGTAGTAGTAGTAGTAGTAGCAGCAGCAGCAGCAGCAGCAGCAGTGTTGGCCGTTGTTGTTTGAGGTTGCGCTGTGTTTTTGCGGCTGACACTTGTTGCTTTCGTGCTGCAGCTGTCCCCAATTTGTTGGGGCAAGCAGGTGTTTTCGGCCAGGCACATGTCTCGGTCGCTGCGCACTCACTCACTCACTCACTCACTCACTCACTCACTCACGCACTCACTCACTCACTCACTCACTCACTCGCTCACTCACTCACTCACTCACTCACTCACTCCATTTCGCTCTACTCAACTCCAATCAGCTCTACTCAACTCACTCATTCATTCATACAACAACAACGACGACAACAACAACAACAACAACAACAACAACAGCCACTACTACTACTAC